ACCTGTAAAGGTAAGGAGTGAATCTGGGCGTTCCTTAAATTTTCTTTAAAGACTTTTTGTGAGACTTGCCAGAGAAATTAAGGATAATGGAAGGAACATTCAATTAATGGAAAAAGTGATGTTGAATATTTGCATAGCTCTGATAATGATATCAAATCGCAGAGAAATGAGGTTGGCAATCTCAATTCTTCACCTGCTGCTGGATGTCCTGTCAGTCAGTCAGGGATATTGAAGGGCAAGTTTATAGAAGAGGTGTCATTTAGTGATAAAGAGCAGAAAACTAGAGGTTTTCAAATTAGGAACACTAAGGCACATGGCGTGGATCGTGTGGAGGAGACTGGAGAAAATGACAAGAGGACTCAAACTGTGCAAGGGAAGAAGTTGATTGTCAATTTGGGGCCACAGAAAGTTAATATGACTAGTTCTCCACAATCCGATGCCATAAGTTGCCAAAAAGATCAAGATATGGTTGCTCCCAGTGGTATGTGGTTTTATCACGATCAATTGGTTCCTTTTCCCCTCTATTTATTTTGGAAAAAATGGAGATTGTAAGATATTATTATGTGAACGCGGGCTATGGTGGATCTCTTATTTAAGATCCCTCGTGAAAAAGCCCCGGTGAAATGTAGTAGACGTACACCAGAGAATAATCTTTAAATCAATTTTCACTTGTTATAATGTGTAGTTATGCCAAGTAGCAATGAACAATGATTCTGCTTTCTGTGTGTTCTTCATGGATGATCATTTGGGTTTCTGTTGCATCCGTTTCCTTTCTATCATGGGATTTTTGGGTTGAAATTGAATGTCACATTTGTCAACTAATATATATGCTTGTGGAAAGAGAAAAGCGGATCTTTTCATCAGTATATCATTGGATGTTACTGTCCATTATTCCGGTGGTTAGCGTTTGGAGACCATCTGACCTGGGTTCATATGAATTGCAGGGAGCAGGGTTGACACTCGTCAATCAAAAGTATTGAAGGTTTTTAGAAGAGAGAGAAATCTCAGAGGTAATATTTCTGGGGAAAGTGAAGCTGTTCCTTTAGAGCAACCTCGCATCTTGCTTGAAAAACGTAGTTCTGAAGAATAGCTGATCAAGTTGGAAATGGAGCAGCAATGTCGGGAGGTGAGAGGACGTCTTTGGGAAGGCCTCCAGAGGGGAGATTTGGTTCAAATGATGAATCAGATGACAATGAGTATCAGACACCTTCACATTCTTTGCCCAAAGATTCTAAACCCTTGCTGAGGATCAAGTTCAAGAAACCTGGCATTGAAAATCAAAATTTGTCTTATTGGGAGGGGATGAGTGTGATCAAGGGTCAGAGGTCAAAAAGGAAGAGACCTTCACCATTGACGAATAAAGCATCTCTCCATTACGAGGACGTAACGCATTCAAATCAGAACACTCAAATGGATGAAATAATGGATGCGAACTGGATATTGATGAAATTGGGTAAAGATGCAATCGGCAAGAGAGTTGAAGTTCATCAGACATCTGACAATTCTTGGTGAGCGTCTCATATCCTTTCACTGATTCTGCAAATTCGATGTAGGAGGGAATAGCGTATGAATCATATAATTCATCACAGGCCAAACTAGTCCATTGCCACAATTATCCTCCCTAATGTGCTCTTTGAAACTCCACTTTTTAGCTGATAAAATGGTCCCCCCCCCCCCCAAAAAACAAAAATTTGCATCCAAATTTTATCATTCATAACTTACTCTTTATCTCTTGAATTCAAATCATACTTTTGAACTTCATTGTAATGATGTTAATCGTCTGCTTTTCCACAAAACTGCTGTAGCTATAACAGCAAGAAAACTAGAGTAGGGAATCTGATATGGAATCGGTCCCTTCCCTTGTGTCTTTTTTGATTGTTTTAACCAGGAACAAAGGAGCAGTCACTGGCATAATTAAAGGTACTTCAAAGCTTAGTGTTGCCTTGGATGATGGGACAGTGAAGATGTTAGATCTTAACAAGCAAGCGGTCCGATTTGTTCCTCAGAAGCACAAGAGTTCAAAAGCTTGAATGGCTCGGCTTGTCTCTTTACCCTCAAGAGACATTTGTACATTTGGGCAGTATGTAGGTTGTAGTTGATTGGATTGAAAATTAACTATAAGTCCTTTGAATTTCAAAGGTGAAATAAAGGATACGTTATATATATATATATTATAATATATATATATATATATGTATATGTATATTTACAAAGAAAATCTTGGGATGTTTCTACCTGAATGCTTATTAACTCTCCTTGATGGACGTGAAGGTCTTGCATAGACTCTAAATTGAGAACACATTAAAAAAAATTAAAACGGTTCAACAAATACATAATCGTTAGACAATTTATTAGAATAAAGAATCCTAAGCAAGTTATTGCTGATCCTTTTAAAAGTTCGTTCTAAAATCAGTTATTAGCATTGTTTTTTGGGGAAAACTAAATAATTAGCAGTAACAATGCAATTAAATATTATATGTGAACTCGGAAAATCCCTGCAATCCTAGAGTACCAATAGGCGATAGTTTCGAAATACAATTGTTGTGCTAACATGTTCTTTTTCATTAATCAATGCTTTTCACTACCCATAGATAGAATGAAGAAAAAAAAGTCTAAAAATTAGTCGGAAAAAATTAACTGCTTGAGACGTTTGAACATTGAATTAAAGTTATTTATATTGCGAAAATTAAGGACTTTAAATATTACATATTGGTTTATTAGTTATTAACAAAAATGCATATTGTTTTAAACATTCTTAATCGATACAATAATATAGACGTACAGATCACTCTTAAAAAAAAAAAAAGGCAAAAACTTATAATTGCTTGGGAAAATCGTAAAAAAATATTTTTAAAATAGAAAATTGTAATTGCTTTATCAATTGATAATTTAAAAATAATTCGAATACTTCAGTTAATACACAGTGCAAATTAACTGTGCACTGTTGTTACATTAATAGATGATTTGCCTGCAGTAATATCAAATGTTCAAACATACTTTTTTATGAAGAAAATAAAAATCAGTAAAATTATGATTAAGTTTTATCTCTTATTCCACGCTTCGCCACTAATAAATATTTATAAATTATTTTATCTCAACATATAAAATACTATGAAAGTGAAAAAAGCGAGATAAAAATTCAAATATATTAATGTTTAAATCTAATAAGTTATCTTTTAAAACGCAATAAAATATCAAATTCGATTGACTTATTTTTATATTATCATGATTTGTTTTAGATCTTCTCTTTAGATTATCCCTTTATTAATCAAGTTTTTCTCTAAACATTTATCTCAATCCTTTACAAGTTCAAAATCTTTTATTGTTATCCTAGTCCTATATATCGGCCTACTCCTCTCTTTATAAATCAAATCCTCCTCATCACAATTTTCTTCTTCAACTTTCCTTTAGAACACTCTTTTCTTTCCAGTTCATCTGATCCTACTCAGATCCCCCCCCCCCCCAAAAAAAAAAAAAGGTTCTAAAAGGCAATGAATATTCCTTCTCGTGTTAGAGTTAGATATAATTGTGAAGTTCTTTATCCACTAAGCACAATTATCCCTACTGATCCCAATAATTACCCCATTAATCCTCCTAATGATGATGATCAATACATCAACATCACAGCTGCTAAATCAGTATGGGACTGGCAAATGTTGGATCCTACACGAGTTGAAAGCTCAACCCTTGTTAATACATATTCCACAACACATGATTTCTTCAACATCTCAAAGAACTCCATAGATCAAATTGCAAACCTTATTCCTTCTCATTTTGGTATCCCTTCATTCTCCGGCAGATGCATGGCAAGAAAGATCTTGGATTCTGCAAGAAACATGCTTAATAATACTCATAAAGACCAGAAGATCTTGTTCATGGCTGTGGTTATTGAAGTTGTTAAAACTTGGTGTTATCATTCTGATCCCCACTGGTGATTCCTATCATCAGGCTGCGGAGGCATCTTTGGAAGCCCTGGCGAATCAAAGTCTTATGGCAGTGCCTGCAACTAAATCATTTATTGAGGAATTGGAAACTGTGAAGGTTGAAGAAGAAGAAGAAAAGTTAATAAGTAACTGTGCGATTTGTTTGGAAGATTTCAAAGTTGGATTCTTAGAAGTTACTCGTTTGCCTTGCTCGCATTTATTTCATAAAGCTTGCATTGTTGAATGGCTGCAGAGCGATGGTATCTGTCCTTTGTGTCGTTTTCGAATGCCTATTGAATGATAACTGATTCAAGTTATTTAATTAGATTCTTTTCCTTTCTTTTTTGGCATGAAATTAAAGTAAACTAGATTTGTTTGTCAATTTAGTCAATTACATTATACTACCTCCTGTCCTAAATATAATAATTAATTAACTAATCACATAGCGTCGTGCGATTCATGTAGCCGACCCTATCTAGTGGAATAAAACTTTGTTATTGTTGTATTTGTAATAAATAGGTTATCTTTTCTAAAATTTTACTAATCAAGTATATTGGTTAAAACTATTATTATTAGAAAGATGCCTTGGAAAAAATGAGAGACAAAGTGAATTGGGGTCTTATATTTAGAACTAAGTAAAAGTCAAATGAGGTTTTACATTAAGGATCAAAGATAGTATTGGTGATGCAAATTATACGGACCGAATTACCTTTTTTTTCTAACGCATATTGCATACCATATTGTTTTCCTTGATATGTTTCGTTTGTGTGTATGATATACTGTTAGCTCTTAACTGTCTTTGCTATAAATTTTAATTTTATACTGTTAATTCCATGAAAATAAATGAAAAGGATATGAAACGGATTGAATTATTTTACCTGCTATTTAAAGGTCTGAAAGACAACCATATACATCAAGATACATTCTTATGCTGAAAAGTAAAACAAATATGAAAATTATTCCTCAACTTTCTAATAATGCATTGAGTTCCTTGATCTTCTATCTTTGTTGGCACAGTCAAAATTTAACAAATTTAATTTTAAACCGAACAAGAAAATCTCTCAGGCTCTCTCAGCTGTAAAATATACATAATCAGAATTTCCCCCCCACTTGTGTATATACAATGTTAGTTAACTTCCCAATCATACTCTGTTACTTGATAATAAACACATAACACCTGCTGGACAATATATAAGGTTTCATGTCATAAATATATAAAGATATATTTCAAAATTCACTCTCCCTTGTCATCATCATATTTGGACATTGCCTCCTCCAGCTTGATCACTATTCCCACCTGCGGTTACTGCAACCCAGATCAATGAAATTATAATGGAAAGCAGCCCTAGCCACACTAAAAGTATTGTGGGAACCCTTCCTCTCTTGCCCATTAAACCTTTAGCAAAAGGGTACATATGAACCAAAACCCATAAGCTAAAGAACAAGCCTCCCAATAGCCTATTCCACTGTGGTATCACACTGTATATGGTCCTTGCGCATCCTATTACCATAGCTATGATGTTGATGCATATAATGGTTAGTGGCACGATGAAGAGACTTGTCCATTTCACAATGTAAAGATCGGCGTAGATGTCTTCGTCTTCATCTGCGGCTGACTTAGATGTTAAAGTGAAGGAAATCTCAATGCCTGCTATGACTTTTAGCAGACCTTGTAACACTGCAGCGAGGTGAGCACTAGAACCACCAATGACCCAGAACTGCTCGTTTCGCCAAAATTCCTCAAGGGCAATGCCTGACCACTTCACTTCAAGAAGGGAGATCAGAACAAGGCAGACGGTGATGGAGAAAAGATACAAAAGGAAGGCTACGTTTAGGCCTGGAACTATGAAGTTGTTGGTGAAGAGGCAGAGTGCAGGGAGAAAGCAGTAGACAACCAAGAATATAGAGGTGAAGGGGTATATGCCCACATTGAGATATGCGACTCTTTGCGAGAACTTGAGGCGCTTGCTTCCAAATATGGCGTTGTTTTTTGAGAAGAAGATTTCTACTGAGCCTGTAGCCCATCTTAAAGCTTGATGAAGCCGATCAGTCAGATTGATCGGAGCCGTGCCGCGAAAAGCGTCACGCTTTGTAATGCAGTAAATTGACCGCCACCCACGGTTGTGCATCCGGTAGCCAGTCACCACATCCTCTGTCACTGACCCATAAATCCAACCCACCCTGTCCCCCCATTCAGTTTTGTCCTCGTACCTGCGGGTCCATACACAAGAAAAACATCATGGGTATATCAACAAACATTGAACAGATTTTGGTGGATAGTTTAATGAAGAGTCAAGAAAGAGATTAGTTAGCATAATGCGATACCAGCAAGAGATGACAGCTATGGCTTCAGCAACAGTGGGTGCATCCAAAGGAGGACGTGGCTTGAGTAACGATCCTGGTGGTCTACCATTCTTAACAGATTTGTGATCAGCTAGTGGTCGGCCTTGGAATTCAGTCACAGGTATGCTGTCTGTGAACATAGTAGAATTACCAAACTTCTGGGGAAATCCAAGATCTGAGTCCGAATCAGAGTTCAGAGGCTGCCGATCATCATCCACTCGTGATCGTGCCTGTAGTACATCTCGGTTTACTTTGGTTTTTACTCTCCCAAACACGCCTGTGTGCTCATAGAACCTCGGTGGTTCAAATCCATACAGTGCGTATCTCCGAAACATGCAACCTGTCCCAACATACATTGGACCCTGCAGACCATCTAGTGCCCGCATATTTCCTGTTGATTGTTACAACCAATATCCAGTAAAACACGCATTACGGTAAACAATATTTGTGTGTGTGTGTGTGTGTAGAGAAAAAGAGAGAGAGGCTGGGGCTTTTACCATCAAAGAAGACTGTATTATTATTTGCATATCGATCAGAGGGATCAACGCCGTCAAACCTCTGAGGAAACTGTATGTAACATATGCGATCACCACCACGATCCATCATGAAGCACATTCCCTCCCTTACAGCTTTACTGTTATAGAAATAATGGTCACAATCCAAGTTAAGAATAAAGGCTCCATTGGACAATATAGCCGAGGCTCGAACCAAGGCATTCATGGCTCCTGCTTTCTTGTTATGATCATATCCTGGTCGTTTTTCTCTAGAAACGTAAGCAAACATGGGGAGTCTGATGTCTACACCTGTGAAGTCCAATCTCTTTTCGTCTGCAGTTCCCATTACTGGATCAAATTCTGGGACCTTACACATTATCTACAAGTAACAAATATGAGGAAGACTTAGGATTAGGAATTTATTTTGAAAATAATCACATGATAAGTTAATCTTGGATGCATGAAAACTGAGATACGACAAAATCCATAGCATTAATTTATGCGTAGAATGATGTCTGGCTTGAACATCTCTGACGCTTGTCAGATACAAACACGTCTTTCTTTTACGTGTTCATCCTCCATATAGATCAAAAGGTGAGTATCTTTTGATTGTGTTCCTTTATAAATTCACACTCAAAAAGCAAGATTGTGCGCGCGCGTATATATCCAGAGTACTTGCAAGATTCCAGCATGGTCACCCTTGGCATGGTCAGCTGTAGAATTGAACCAAGTTCCCGGCCAATGAGTGCCATCAGCCATCCATGTTGCCTTTGTGACATTGATGGGTTGATCTGGTGGCAAATTCCCACCATTTTTCTCTCTGGCTGTTTGTTTTTCCTTTATCTCCTCTTTAGAGTTGTACATTTCGCTTCGTTTGCGAATCACCTCTGGAAGCCCATTGATCCTCACTTTGAATTCATCATACTCCCTCTTGATCCATCTACGATCCTTGACGAAGTCATGCTTTTTCTTGTTCTTCGTGGGATCAGTTTTTAAGCTGAAGTAAGCGTCAGGATTTCTAGGCTCAATTTCGTGTTTCCGACAAAATGGTACCCAAATCTGTCGGCACATACAAAAACAGAGGGGTTAATTCATCGTAGTGGTAAATCATTATTCACCTTAGCCGGTTTCAAATTGAGTAAAGCATTCCCTGAACGTATTTGATTGAATAATTCTTATTGTTTGGCATTTGGAACTGGAAAAATTTATAACGTGTGAATTTGCATGGTCATTGATAGCTGGCTCTTCTGTGTATAATGTATAAAATCTAGCCATGCCACAAAAGAGAATTTTTTATAAATTCTTATAGTAATTTTTACACGCATGTGGCGTAGCCGTTAAGATTTCGGGTTGCACTCCTCTATTAAAAATCAAATTTAAACGTACCTCAGCAAATTTGGCAGCTTCAGCCATGGCTTCAAAGGTGAGTATAGCACCACCATCGTCAGAAATGTAGGCGCTGAGCTTCTCGACTGGGTAGTCAGCGGCGAGAATTGAAAGGAGGGTGTTGGCGGTGACGAGAGGTGGTTCCTTTTCAGGGTCAGCGGTAGAAACAAAAAGATCGACGCCGGGTAAGTCTGATCGACCAGTCGGGTTCGACGGCGAAGGCTGTTCGAACTTGTCCTTCAGTGCCTCCAGGTCGGTACTTCTGTTTACAGGATTGAGCTTGGGAAGGATATCGAGAAGCCAAGAGAAAGCAAACCAGATCTCGCAGACAATTGAAATTCCCCAAAGCCACATGGCGTCGTAATTCGGGTTCCTACAACGCCATCCTAGGAAGAAAAATAACAAGATCATACGGATGACAACCAATACCCTGTTTCAATGGAAGAAATCCGAACATTAAACCTGCAATAATATACAATCACCATGCATGAAAAGAAGAACAAATAACAGACCTAAATGTTCAAATCAACTGGACAAGAATCAAAGAATCGAGTATCGAGTATTATCGTAATAAATATTCTACAAAGCTTTGCTATTGCGATTAAACTGAACAGAACTATATGCAGTTCTCTGTATTTGCTAATTCTCCAGTGAAGCCACACAATTACCCAAAATTATACGTTTCGTGATGAACTAAAATAAAAAATAATTGAAATGTTTTTAGTTGATTTACCTGTAAGGGCTCAGAACACCTCCAGGAACACCAACTTTCCGAGTGAGAGGTTTCCATGGTTTGTCCATGAAATCCGACATGCTCATTCCAGTATCTTCCCCGTACTCATCGTCCTGCCAATACGCGTTTCCAATTCCATATGTCCCCTTCGTCTCGAACAACCACCGGTTGTGATCAAAATCCTGAGTCTGACTCCTCGACAGCATCGACTTGTTGTTCACAGAATTCAAGATCGACACTCTTCTATCAAACTTCGCCGCACTCCCTCCGCTGCTGCCTCTGCGGTTCGGCTGAGACTCAGACGCTAATCGTGAAGAGCCGGCACCATCGGTCTTGGAATCGGAG